CTGCTGAGAACAATGATCATCCCTTGGGTGGCTGGAGGACACAATCTCCTTCCTTGCTGAGTGTTAAGCTCCTGGAACATTCCTCATAATAAGCAGGTTTATGACAGCACACATCTCTTGCAGAGTAATTGCTTGAGACAGGTTGAGAAGGACTGCTGAGAACAATGATCATCCCTTGGGTGGCTGGAGGACACAATCTCCTTCCTTGCTGAGTGTTAAGCTCCTGGAACATTCCTCGTAATAAGCAGGTTTATGACAGCACACATCTCTTGCAGAGTAATTGCTTGAGACGTTCAAAGCAAATAAACAGTCCCTTCCTTTTCTCTTTTGTTGGGGAGATGGCAGACATACTGAGGATTTCTTTCCGGTAAGTATTTCTCTTCCACGATCTACTTAAAATGGAATCGATCATCAAAACAGGGCTATTAGAAGAAAGTGTCCCACTTATCAGGAGCTTTGTATGTGCCTTCCTCCATGACAGGATGATTTTTAAAGCTCACTCATGGAAAGAGGCAAATCTCAAGGGCAGTGACAACATCACAACTAATGCACCTTAAAGGTAAAGAACGCATTGCTGGCATTTCTTTGGTGGCCTGCTTGTTCCCTCAGATGGTAACTGATAAACACCAACAAGTCAGGCCATCTTTGCTCGATGCTCTCCTTTCAAACTTTAACAAACACCTATTTGCTAAATGACACAAAACATGAGGACATACATACCGCTGGGCCAAGATCACCTTTTGGGCCCTATAAGAAAAACATGGAAAGTCACATTTTAAATAACGACTGGAGCATAATTACAGAATATGAAGCATTTTTGTCCAATTTGCCTTAATACACATAAAAATACTTGCAAGTTTTGCTTTTGCTACAGGTTAGATTTGAAGAACAAGATGGAGAAATATAACTTGATGGGACTTCCACGAAAGTGATTTAGTTCTTTAACATTGATTTAGTTCTTTGATTTACCATGATAAAAAGTGAAATCACTATGCAAAATGCTACTTTTCATTATTTTGGCTGTGTACATTTTCTCAATTTTATTATAATTGGTTTCCTTTATTTCCTACTGCTGTAAAATTCGGCTATATTTGTAACAAGCATTTTTCAGTGAATTTAGGAGGTTTTTTTTTTTTTTTTCATTGTGGCTGACTGTTCAGTTAAAGTGTGCTTGGTGATAAACAACTGTACTCACAGCGGGACCAGGCGGCCCTGGGTAACTGGGAACATTCACACCTCCCTTCAGAAAAAAGAAAAAGAAAAAGAGAAGAATTTACAGCAACCTGTAACTACTGGAAAATGATTTTAAATAACGACATATTTAAATACCTGGATTTTATATAAACTGCTCATGCCATTTCCTTCATTGAAGGGTACTCCCTTAGGAAAGAAATAAGATGTAAAATTATTCTTATAAGTTAATACTCAGCATCTGTAAGTATTTTTTATCATTTTACCAAATAATATTATTTTTATTCTATTTTTAATTTCTTAATTAAAAAATTTTTCCTATTCTATTTTAGAAAGAGAGCTTAAGACTATAAGTAAATAATACAAAGTTCTCATTTTTAGCTTTTCTAAAGCAAATGTGGGGAAAGAAATGAGAATGAGCATGAACTACACCTGCAGCACACAGACTCTTTCAGCTGGGGTTTGATTAATGTTCAGCTTTGACAGATGAGACACTAATGCATTCAGAGGAAAATATTTGCTCATTAAAATTCAGTTTCTGAATTGCCAATTTATGCTAACTGTTTACAGCCTGCTGACCCGCAGGCTATAATGCGGCCGTGCTGATGAAGATGTGAATAGGGAACAATTTAGCTACTGAAAAGTAATTTTTTTCCACAGTGTCTTCATACTAAATAGGAAATTAAGGTAAATGGGGGGATGATGTTACTCACAACCTTGTGTGGATGTTTCTCCAAAAACATATTCTTTAGAACAATGGTGAGCAAGAACTTCCTGAAAAAATTGACATGCAAATATAGTCCTAGAGTACCCAACACTTAAAGAGAAACTTTTCTATGGGTTAAAAAATCATACGTTTTGTCTTCTAGGAAAAATTTTTTTATGAAAACTCTAGTTAAGATCTTTTATCCTTCTTTTTAGAAGTTTCCATAGAATAATCAAGTCTGCATTTTCCCTTTTGTGATTTTCACATTCCAGTTGCAAAATTGGGGCAGCCACCATTTCATTGTTTCTGAATAATGGTGCACCAGTAGTGCTCAGTGAACACCATTCGCCTGCCTCCGTGAAACAGTAGCAATGGAGGAAAATGCTCACCCATTTATTATTAGTAGTGCTCAGTGAACACCATTCGCCTGCCTCCGTGAAACAGTAGCAATGGAGGAAAATGCTTACCCATTTATTATTATTATTATTATTATATTTCATTCATTCATTTGACAATTACTGAATGTCTGCTATATTTTAGTGTGCTGAGTTCTGGAGAGACGAAGGACACCTTTGAGATTTCCCAGAGAAGACAACAATTAATACGTGTCTTGAAGCATGAATGGTTTTGGAGAATTCAGAAGATTTCTTAAGCCCATTATAAAATCATAGGTCTCTTTCATAAGTTCATGTTATATTTGCTTTTCTGTCTCGGAAGGGAGTGTATTTTAGGATTCATACCCCCAATACTTTCTGCCCTGCTTCCTTGCCAAGGGAGGAGGTAGCTAACAAAGAAGAACAGGTTTAGGAACACAGAGTGCCCATCTCTTCATCTATGTGTGCCAAGTGTGCAACTGCATGCAGACTCATAACATATTCTTCTCGTTTTCAGAAAGTCACAGTCAGATTCTGCCCTTTCTCTAGCGAGTTTGGTTTCTTAAACTATTCCTATGAGGTAGGCTGGAGAAGGACGTTTGGCCTGGACCTCAGCTCTGTTGCGATTTGAGCGCGGCCCCACATGAGGGCAGACTTGCCACAGAGAGAGGCCACTCTCCTCTCCGCAGCCTCCCTGACAGTGCACATCTGTCTCAATCATGAGCATACAGACACCGATGGCTCTTATACAGTCTGTTCGCTAGGTGCTGTATAACTATATACATAAAATTTCCTTGCATCTGAGACATCATGGATGGGAATGAACACATAAAGCATAATACAAAATTTTCTACCAATTCCCATTGCTGGAAGGGATCTTTTTTTACAGTCCTATCTTTTCTGTGAATGAGTCTCACTGAGTTTAAATGACTTTCCCAGGGTCCCTCAGGCAGAAAGTGGAGAGTCAGGGCACCCACCCAGTTTCCTGGGTCCACGATATGCAAATATGAGAATTGCACATCAGGGCTGAGCCAAAGGGGGAACAAATCAGATCTCCCCAAAGCTACATTGGCTATCATTTATGTTTGTACTATATAAAACTCAGAAGACTTTTTATCTTTGAGAACATCTAAATGTAGTCTGACCTTTGGGTTATACAAGTCTTAAGTAAACACAAGGAATGCTAAGTGTTAAACCTGAAACAACTCACAGGTGGTCCAGGGGGTCCGGGTTTCCCAGGGGGTCCCTCGCTGCCCTGCAAGGGATATATAGATCAAAACCAATGGCTTAGACATTTCTATCCCAGGTTTATGAGCCAGTTTGTGCTTTCTCAGTCATTTTCTGAAATCAATATGACATGTCATTTTGTTTCAGCCTTGCAAAGTCTTATTCATACTGGCTTTCTCCTTTACCCAGGAAAATACATTTCTAGACCATGGGAAAGGTAAGTACGTTTTCCCAGGAGCATCCAGATCCTCATTCTGTGAGCTCCATGGATGGAGCTGATGTCTAGATGGAGCCCAACAATCCATGTCCTGGACTGCAAGTACAGCTGAAAAAGTCTCCTAACACGGGGTACAGAGCACAGTTCCTACAAGCAGATGGTGGGCTCTGGGACTGTGGCTCTTTGGGTCAGCCATCACTTTTGGGCTCAGCTCCACCACCTTCATCTTGAGGGAACCAGAGGGGCCATCTACACAATTTGACCAAAGTAGAAAATCACAACCTGTGTTGTGTCTGCAGGAGGAGAAACTTCTTTGACTCCTAAGTTAATATCAGACATTATAACCAAGTCATACACATCTCGCTGAACAGAAGTGACTGTGGTATAACACTGTTTAGGGAAATGGCCTATGCAATTTAAACAGCCTTAGACATTCTGCTTACAGGAGAAGCAGACTGAAAATGGAATTTATGAAAAATGAATTTGAGTTGAAAGTTGAAAAATGTATTTCCCTTTTATTTTTACAAAACATAGAATGCTTATGGGTCCATGATAAGCAGAGGTATTACAGTCCCTTTGGTGTCTTTACCAGTTCTTCCTTTAACTGTGCTTTTCTTTTATAGCCTAGTAAAAACCTTTTAAGTCCCTCTGTATCAGGGGCAATGGCAAGAAATGGTTAATTAAAAAAGAATCCAGAGAGAGTAAAATTCCTACTCACAATGCCCAAGAATGTTGAGGGATTTTAGTCCATTTCCCATACCTTTGATAAAAGATTTCATTCCAATACCCTCCCATCTTTTTGTGACAAAAGTTTCATAAAACGTTTGTTTGTATGTTTATCAATATAAACCAATTGTAAAGTTTTTCTTGCAATGTAGCTGCCTGAAAATGTGTGACAAAGAACAAGTATATTGTATTTTTTCCCAAACTGCTTTGATGGTGGCTCTCTCTCTGAGACATGCCATATTCTGCTGACTGCTGGCAGTGTCCTTCAGAGAATTATGTCATAGTTCTCATGAATCAACAAACAAGGAAAAATATGTGCCTATTGAAAAGACTTTCTTTTCCCCCGGCATAATTAAAAGTCATATTTTCACTCTTATTTGTGCCCCAAAGTGCATCTCAGTTTGGAATTCCCATTAACTTCAAAGGCAAGTCTATGACCAAGTAATTTCCATAGAGAACAGAGAAAAAAGGCTGGTGGGATTGGGCAATCCCCTTGGGATATTACCAGAAAAAAATGTGCTGAGACTATCTAGAATAAGCACATTGTTTCCGTTAAATTTTGTTGAGATTCCTTTGCTCCTTGATGCCGTCATGCTGTAGCTTGTATCCTGACAAGTGTGTGAAAGCCACTTGAGTGGCTCATGTGGATTCTTGATTCTTATTTTCCTAATCTGAATAGCTGGGCTTATTTCACTCATCTGCTCGCTCTGCCCAGATTGACATCGTGGGACCAATTTGGATCCCAAATCCACACATGTGAAGCCCTGCAATCTTCCTGCCTGAGATTCCTCTTTCGCTGGTCCTCCCTTCTGACCACAGCAACCTATTTGTCCAATAACTGGCCTTTCCTGGAAACAAGTTGTCCTGATTCCTTAGTGAATTTCCCCTATAACTCTAGAGATAGAACTTCCAGAATGTTTCAGCAAGCCCTTTGGTTATTAGAATTCTGGTTTTGGGCTGACCCCGTGGCTCACTCGGGAGGGTGCAGCACTGGGAGCGCAGCGTTGCTCCCGCCGCGGGTTCGGATCCTATATAGGAATGGCTGGTGTGCTCACTGGCTGGGTGCGGTGCGGATGGCACCAAGCCAAGGGTTGCAATCCCCTTACTGGTCACAAAAAGGAAAAAAAAAAAAAAAAAAAAAAAAAAGAATTCTGGTTTTGATAGCCAGCATGCTGTCTGGAGCCTTGGCACCTGCTATGGTCTAAATGTTTGTGTCTTCCCCAAATTTATATGATGAATCAAAACCCCAGGCTGATGTATTAGGAGGCGGGGCCTTTGGGAGGTGATTACATCAAGAGGGTGGAGACTTCATGAATGGAAGTAAGAGTAGTGCCCTTATAAAAGAGGCTCAAGAGAGGTTGAGCCACACACAGAAGGTGCCACCTATGAATAAGAAAGTGAGCCCCACCAGACACTGTTATCTGCTAGCACCTTAATCTTGGACTTTCCAGCCTCTAGAACTGTGAGAAATAAATGTTTGTTGTTTATAAGTCACCCAGTCTATGGTATTTTGTTATAGAAGCCTGAACAGACTAAGACAACACCTGTGTCTGGAACTCCCTTACAAAACACCCCACTTGCACCTCTCCAGAGGCTCCCCTCACCCCATCCTTTCATCACAGATGGATACCCAGGGCCCTGAATCCAGCTTGGACTTTTATTATTTGTCACCAATGTTGTAGTCATCCTTTCCTCTAGAAATACATCACCTGTATTCAGATCAACTTTAGACCTATACTCACCCTCCCACGTCCTCTACGAGAATAGCTACTCTCTGACATCATTTCTACTTGCAGGCTTTCCTTGATTTTATGGATCTCTATAAACGATCTCACCCTGCTTCTACCCCAAGCCCCAATTCTTATGGTAAGTGAGGCTTTTCCTCAGTACCTTGTCACCCTTTGCTCCCATGGGACCAGGATGTCCAGTTCTTCCCAGTAAGCCCTGTAAAACACAAAACTAAGTTTGTTACAGAAACAACTAACCGGCCAAAGGGTTTTATTGGAAGTTGGTTGCTAAAACTTACACATTTTGAAGGTCATTTGATCCTAATTAAATCAGTCCTACAACTTATATTTCTTCAGGCTGATACAGCAGCTGTATCCTGCTGATAAGCTCTTGGAAGGGTAAAATTTGTATTTGTGGTCGCTTTTTCACCTTGGCCAACCACATTTAATGACCTTAATTGGAACCTTTTGATACATTTAAGAATCTAGCCTTGCTGTTTAAATGGCAATTTACATAACATTATGCCTTCCTAAATGAGCTATAATTTTGGTAGTGATCAACATTTTAAATACTTCAGGACATGGCAGAACTAACGATGTGCATATTGAATTATGTGATCTGCATTTCACCAATGGAAAATAAAACTTAATTCTTCCTTGAGAATGGAGTTAGCTATGATTGTCATGGTTCCTGTCACAATCCTTTTTCATAACTTTTAATTTTAGCATACAATTTAAAGCCAGGTTTGTTCTACGTAACTGTGGCGAAAGCACAAATGATAAAATTTTAATTATGGTGAATCCATGATTGAAAACATTAAGGAATACGATTGCATTCCTATTTGTGTGGCAAGGACTCTATCTGCATAGGAGCTCTAAGAAGGGAGAAGATGAAGAATTTGAGACATGAGCTGGGTTGCTAGATTTAGCAAACAAAAATACAATATTTGGGACCAGCTTATTCTAAAAAATTTATTTATCTGAAATTCGAATTTAACGGTGCATTCTGTATTTTATCTGGCAACCCTAGAATTAAACTCTGCTTGAATGAGAAATTGGATTTGGCAAGTGGAAAGCAAAAGAGATTCTGTCCTATGAACACAGGATGATCAAAGACACAAAGGCCTAGACGGTGTATGTGAGGAGCAGTGAAAGCCTTGACTAAAATAGAGGGTTATTTATTTATTTATTATTTTATAGCAGTTTTAGTTTTACAAAGAAATTGAGTAGAAAGTACAGATAGTTGCCATACCCTCCCCCACACCCACATACACAGTTTCTCTTATTATT